TATGCTCTGACGCCAGGAGCAATGGTCTGTCCTGGAGCCTTTGGCAGAAGGTGTCTGATGGGACTCGAGGTCAGCCACTGAGATTTTAGAGTCAAAGCTATAGGGAGTCTGAATCCAACTACACTCCAACAGAGAAGGAAATCTTAGCAGCCTATGAAAGAGTTCAAGCTGCCTCAGAGGTAAAAAGCACTGAAGCATAACTCTTCCTGGCACCACAAATACCGGTGCTGCGGTGGATGTTCAAAGCAAAGGTTCCCTCTACCCACCATGCCACCAATGCCACACTGAGCAAGTAGATGGTCCTCATCACACGGCGTGCCTATATTAGAAAACTAAACTGCCCTGAGATTTTAGAGGTAATTACAAATTGGCCAAAAAGTGAAAACTTTGGTCTTGTAGATGAAGAAGAACAAGAGCAAGTGACACAGGCTGAAGAAGTTCCACCGTACAAGCAACTGCCAACAAAAGAAACACTTTATGCTCTTTTTACTAATAGTTCTTGTTGCATTGTAGGGATGAAACAAAGCAGAAAGCAGTCATATGGAGCCCCACACAACAAGTTTCAGAGGCTACTGAAGGAGAAGGTAGATCAAGCCAACTTGATGAACTCAAAATTGTTCAACTGGCCCTAGACATTAGTGAAAGAGAAAAGTAGCCAAAGCTTTACCTTTACACTAATTCATAGATAGTAGCCAATGCCCTGTGGGTTTGGCTAGAAAAATTAAAAAAAGGTAAATTGGCAACATAGAGGAAAACCAATTTAAGCTGCTGATGAGTAGAAAAATATCACTACCAAAGTGCGGCTTTCGGGGGTCACTTGCGGCTGTCCCCCGTCCCTCCCCGGCCCCCCGGGACCCCTCCGGCTCGCTGTCCCCTCAGGGGACCGGGGTTTGCCGCGGTCCCGCTGCACTGGGCTTACCAGGCAGCGGCTGGGTTTGCACGGTCCGAGCGGCGGTGCGCCTCGGTCGCCGCAAGGAGTCGAGATAAAGAGACGAAGAGAGGTCAGTTGTATGCAGTCCAGAAAGACTGTATTGCCTGAACAGTTGCAGAGACAAAAGACCCTGGGCTACTGCCCAGATACAGTTTTATACAGCAAAATTAACAGATAAGGTCTAAACAATAGAGACAGTGTTCAGCATGGGCCCATCAGAACCACCCCAGGGGTCAGGTCCAATGGGAACTGCTCAGGGGTGGGGAGAAGGGGGTTTGCATAAAGATGCTGAAGCGAAACTTTCCCGAAACAATGGGGCATACATAAATGTATCTTTTCCTCATACCTAAATGTATCTTTTCCTCAGTTTCCAACTCCCAAGGCCTTTCTAAATCCCTTCTCCACACTACCACGCCAGCGTGATAGCAACACCAAAGTAGAGAAACTACCTGTGAAAGTCCACCATGTAGATGCCCATGTCCCCAAGACTAGAACCAATAAAGAGCACCAAAACAATCAGCAGGTAGATCAAGCTGCAAAGATAGAAGTGTCAAAGATAGACTTAAATTAGCAACATAAGAAAGAGTTGTTCCTATCAAGATGGGCTCATGATGCCTCAAGTCATCAAGGTACAGATGCCACCTATAAGCGGGCACAAGACCGAAGAGTAACCTAACCATAGGCAGTATGTCTCAGGTGAGACTGTGCTGCCATGACTGTGAGACATGTGCTGCCATCAAGCAGGCCAAGCAGGTGAAGCCCCTATAATATAGTGGGTGGTGGTGCAAATATAAGTATAGAGAGGCCTAGCAGATTGACTACACCACACTGCCCTAAACATGCCAGAGTAAGTGCTATGTGCTCACAGTAGTAGAAGCCACCGTGAGATGGCTAGAGACCTACCCTATGCTTCACGCTATTGCCCGTAACACCATCCTAAGCCTTGAAAAGCAGGTCCTTTAGAAGCATAGTACCCCTAAGAAGATTGAGTAAGACAATGAGAGTAATTTCAAGAACAGCCTTATCAACACCTAGTCTAGGGACCATAGCATTGTATAGATGTAGCCTATCCCCTACCATGCACTAACTGCAAGCAAAGTAGAAAAGTACAATAGACTGTTAAAAACCACCTTAAAAAGACTGGGTAGGGGTATCTTTCAAAAATTGAGACCAGCATCTAGCAAAGGCCATCTAGTCCCAGTAGTACATGTCAAAAGTTTGTTAGGGAAGACAGTTTAGATCAATTCTGCCTTGAGTACAGACAAACCCATTCGTGGGGTTGTCTTTGCTCAGAGACCAAGTTGCATATAGTAGATAATAGAAAAAGATAAAACAACACAGTGTGTACCTCAAGGAGATCTAATTATTGAGAACTATGTGTAAATATCACTGTTATTGTTAGTGTACATATCACTAAATGTTACTGCCATTGTCTATATATAGCTGTATACTATATATATATATATATATGTATGTATGTATGTATGTATGTATAATGTATGTGTTTGTAGAGTTAGTATAGACCAAGTGAGTTTTTGCTGGAGAGATCCCCCATTCCCAGTGCTGAATAAACAAATCCCTGCTCTGTCTGACTGTAGAGCAGGGATTTATTTTCTTGCCCAGTTTGTCCCATGTTGGGGAAGATGAAACAAGAAAGCCTTATAAATATGATTGCCTGGCAAAAGATTTAGAAAATACAGAGATTGAGATGGTAACAAGTTTTGAGATACCAAACCTTAGTTACTGAACAAGTAGAAAACAATAGTACAGCCAGGATGAAGACAATCCCCCCTACTGGTTGAACAATGCCCTTACCTACAGATAGGTCCAAAGGTCAAATGGACTATCTGGGGGTTCTATCTCACCCCCCAGAATGTATGGTTCATCCAACACCTGTAACCCTCCCCTGAAACATCAGGTGTCTGTGACCCCATTGGCCCAAGTCTTGTTCCAGCCCACCTTGAAGCCCCCTGATAAGGGGTCCCTGAGGAGCCAGACACTCTCTTGGAACCTCCACCCTCTCCTGGAACATCCTGTTACCTCTCTCTACCCCTTGCCTCTCCCTTCCCCCACTCCCTAGGGCCTGCCACTCGTTGCCTCTGGCGACCCAAAGCAGGGCCTTTCACCATCTCTAATAAACCAGATATTCTAAGAGCAACCTTCAGAGATCTCTCGTCTCCATCCATCCAAACCATTCTGGAGTCCAGCTTCCCCGCAGTCCCACTCCACCTTTCCCTCCCCTCTCCTCCCCTTCCGCAGCATTCCCCCAGTCTACAGCTGCTTCCCAGCTCATTTAAAGGGGTCCCACTCTTCCCCCGCTCTTCCAGTCCTTCTCCATCATTCCCACACTCCCCAGTCCCACCCCCCGTGTTTGGTTTTGGGGGTTCCAAGCCCTTCCTGCTCCGTTTGGGCGTCCGGACCCCCATGTCATTAATTTTGGGGCTCCCATCTCCCTTCTCACTGCGCTCCCCGCTCCCCCCGCGGCCGGGGGGACTCCCAGCACCACCAGTGCCACCATACGGCCCCAGCTGCCCCCGCACGCCCCATCCCCATCATCCCCATCTCCAGGGTCACCTCCCCCCTCCTCAAATTCTGCTCCCTGGGGAACTGGGCGCTGCGGATCCACCTGGCAACTGATGAGTCATCAGCGACAAACGGTCTGATTGGCTGAAATTGGCCCCCGCGCAGTTTCTGATTGGCTAGCGCTGTGCGAGGTTCTGGGCTCAGCCTGGTAAGTGGAGAGTCAGAGCCGTCCCGGGCGCTGATTTGCTGAAAATCGCCGGGCGTGGCCAGTAGGCTGAGTTTTCGCCCGGCAACTGGCTCTCTGATTGGCCAGGATCTGTTTTGGGGTGGGCACGGGAGGAACTTGGGATCCCCAGAAGCCCCTCGGGTTTGGGGGTTTCGATCCCCCCTCGGCCCTCGGAGCGGCCCTGGGGCCACCCCAACACCCCCAAAATGGGGAGGGTCCCCGGAGCCGTTTGGAAGCCCCAAAAATGGGCTGGAAGCGGCAGGAGCCGCCCCAAAAAGGGATTGAAAGGTCCAGTTCAGGAATGAGGGAGGGGCTGGGGATGGGTCCGATCTGGACTGGGGCGGGCTGGGATTGAGGGAAGGGTCTGGGAGTGGGGAAGGGTGTGGAATTGGGGAGGGGTCTGGGAGTGGAGAAGGATTCGTAAGTGGGGCGGGGTCTGGGAATGGGGAGGGGTCCGGGATTGTGGGGATGGGTCCATTCCGGGATTGGGGTGAGGTGTCTCCCCGGGGTAGGGGACCGTTATTGGGTCAGGGTGTCTCTTCTTCCCGATACTGCTCCTGATCCTGTTCCCGATCCCACCGCTGTTTCCAGGGAATAGCTCCGATCTCAACCCTGACCACAAACCTGGAGGGGGTCAAACACCCCAAATACTGTGGCCAAACAAACCCCCCCGACCCTAAATCCTGGGGTCTCCAACACTGGGGGAGGGGGGTCAAACACCCCTAAACCCAAACTCTGAAATGTCAACCTCCCCCCTCCACCCCGAATTTTATGATCAAACCCCCCAAATCCCAAATCCTGGAGTGTCAAACATGCACCAATTCCCAAACGCTGGGATTAAATCCCTGACCCCAAATCCTGGGGTTTAAAACATTCGGGGTGTCGAACACCCCCAATTCCCAAAGTCTGGAGTCAAATACCTCCAAATCCTAAATCCTGAGGTGCCAAACACCCTAAACCCCTAAAGTTTGGGGTTAAAACCCCTAATCCCCATCTCCTGCAGCTTGAAATATCCCCATCTCCTGGGGTTTGTCCAATCCCCCAATACCCAAATCCTGGGGTAAAAAACCCTCAAAAATCCCATATCCTGGGACTGTCAAACACCCAAAACCCCCAAACCCTCGGGTGTCAAACACCCCCAGTTCCCAAAGTTTGGGGTCAAAACCCCCCAAATCCCAAATCCTGGGATTGTCAAAAACCCATAACCATGTGGTGTCAAACCCCCCAAACACCAAATTTTAGGATCAAATCCCCCCCAGTCCCCAAATCTAGGGAGTCACACCGCCCCAATCCCCAACACCCCCAAAACCACTCCAGCCATGGGGGTAGTGGGGTTTATTTGGGAAGGCTCCAGGTGCAATGTCTACAGAGAGACCCTGGGTACAATGCTGGGAAAGACCCCAAAAGCCCTTTGGGAACCCCAAAAGCATCTGGGGGACTGGGAAAAGGGGATTTGGGTTTATCTGGGGCAGGGGCGGCTCCAGGTGCAATGTCTGCTGAGAGACCCTGGGTACAATGCTAGGAAAGACTCCAAAAACCCCTTGGGAACCACAAAAACCCCTGGGGGGCTGAGAAAGTGAATTTGGGGTGGGGATCTGGTGTGGAAGAAGGGGATTTGGGATGAAAGAAGGATTTGGGGTGAGGAGATTTAGGGAGGAAAGAATAGGATTTAAGATGGATAAAGGAGATTTTGGGGTGAAAGGAGGATTTGGGATGGGGAAAAAAGGAGATTTGGGTGAGAAAAGGGATTTAGCATAGGGGTTGAAGATTTGGGGTCAGGATTGTGGGGGGAAAAGGGGATATTGGGATGGAAAAAAATTTTGGGTGGGAGAAAGGGGATTTGGGGTGGAAAAAGAAGAATTTAAGATGAAAAAAGGAGAATTTAGGGTAGAAAAAGGGATTTAGGGTGGGCAAGGAGGCATTTGGGGTGGGAAAAGGTGATTTGGGGTGGGAAAAGGTGATCTGGAGTGAAAAAAACAGGATTTGGGGTGGGGAATTGGGGTGAAAAGGAGCTTTTTGGGATGGGAAAAGGGATTTGGGGACACACAAAGGATTTGGGGTGGAAAAAAAATAAAATTTGGGGTGGAAAAAAATTTAAATGGGGTGGGGAAAAAAAAAAAAGAGGATTTGGGTTAAAAAAAGGAAGATTTGGGCTGAATAGAACTTACCTGGGGGAGTGGGGGCACATGGAGGGTTTGGAGCAGGGTTGGGACCATTTTTGGGGAAGTTTTCTGGGATTTATGGAGTATTTTTATGGGTTTTAGGGGCAGTTTTATGGGATTTAGAGTGCTCTGCTGTGGTTTTGAGGGATTTTAGGGTGTTCCTATGGGATTTTGGGGTGCTTTGGAGGGATTTGGGGTGTTTTGGGGCAGTTTTTGGGTATTTAGGGGTGGGTTTGAGGCTTTTTTTTTTGGATTTCAGGGTTATTTCAGGCCCATTTTTTGGGGGGTTGGGGGTGTTTTGGTGGGGTTTGGGGGTTTTTGCGTCACTTTTTGGCAAAGGAGATCTTCATGGCATTGCTCTGGGTGATCTTGAAGCCCTGCAGGGCCTCGCGGGCGGCGCCCGCCTGCACCTCGGTGTCAAATTCCACGAAGGCGATGTCGTGGCGCCCGGGCACCAGGCGCACCTCCTTGAACCCCGGGAACCTGGGATGGGGAACAGGGTCAGGAGAGCCCAAAAAAAACAGGGTATGTTCCCCCAGACACCCAAGAATGTTCCGCCAGAAACCCAGGAATTTTTCCAAAAAAACTTGGGAATGTTCCCCCAAATACCCAGGAACGTTTCCCAAAAGACGTGGGAATGTTCCCCAAAAAACCTAGGAATGTTCCCCAAAAAATACTCCAGAAATGGTCCCCCAAAAATTCAGAAATATTCTCCAATAAAATCCAGAAATGTTCCCCAAAGAATTCCAGAAATGTTCTCAAAAAGATCCAGAAATCTTCCCCCCAAAAGATCCAGAAGCACCCCCCCTCCCCCGACAACACCCTGAAACAGCCTCTCTTAGAAATCCAGCACCATTCCCAAATATCCAGGAATGTTCCCCAAAAGATCCAGAAACTTCTCTCAAAAACCCAGAAGAGTTCCCAAAAAAACCCAAGAAACCAAAAATTTCCCCCCAGATATAAAGAAACGTTCACTCCCAAAAACCTGGAAACGTTCCCAAAAAGATCCAGCTACATCCCTCAAAATCCAGGAAAAAAAAATACAATCCAGAAATCCAACTCCCCATAAAAGTCTAGAAATGTTCCCCAGAAATCCAGAATTTCTCCAGACTTTTCCCCCCAAAAAGATCCAGAAATCCAACTGCCCCAAATATCCAGAAACGTTCCCAAGAATATCTAGCAACCTTCTCCAAAAACACAGAAATTCAACTCCAGTAAACATTCCCCAAAAATCCAGCAACACTTCCAAAAATCTGGAAACATTTCCCTCCAAAAAAAAAAAATCCAGAAATGTTCCCCCAAAAATCTAACCCAACCCCTACCTGACTCGTCTCAAAATCCCCTAAAAATCCCCAAATTCCCCCAAATTCCAGGAACTCTCTCAAACGCCCCTGAGGGAGGCTCTTGGATTCCCAATGATTTTGAATTTGGCATGGGGGTTGGGGTCAGGAGGAGCCCAGAATTTGGGGAGAGAAATCCAGGGGGGAGAGGCCAAGTTTGGAAAAACCCCCAGTATTGGGAAATTGCTGCCAAAATTCAACTGAAATGCGCTCAAAATGGTTTGAGAATCTCAGAATGTCCCTCCGAATCCAAAATATCCCCAAGAACCCAAAAGTCCTCCAAGATATCCCCAAAATTCCAGGGAAATGCTCTGAAAATCTTCCAATGTCCAAATCTCCAAAAATCCAACACCCCAAAAATAAAAAATCCGACTCCAAATCCCATCTAAACATTCTCAAAATCCCTAATCCCTTAAACCCGAAAAACCCAACAGCCCCCAAAATTCAGAACTATATCACAAAATCCCAAAAAATTCCACCAAGTGCAGAAACATTCCCCCAAAATCCAACCCCCAACAATCCAAAATCCCAGAAAAACTCTCCCAAAATTGTTCAAAACCCCCAAAATCCAACCTCCCTAAAAATCCAGAAACATTCCCTCCCAAAAAACCTCCCCGAAAAAATCCCGAACGGTTCCCATAAATTGAGAAATGTTCCCCAAAACAACCCATAAATCCAACTCCCCCAAAAGTCCAGAAATGTTACCCAAAAAAATCCAGGAGTGGCCCCCAAAACATCCAGAAAAATTTCCCTAAATAATCGAGAAATGTTCCTCAAAAAATCCAGAAGCATCCCCCAAAAAAACCCATAAATATCCCTAAAAATTAAGGACCTTTCCCCCAAAAATCCATAACTGTCCCCCCAAAAAATCCTGAAACATTCCCCAAAATCAAGGAACTTCCTCCCAAAATCCACAAATGTTAATGTTCCCCAAAAAATCTGGAAACACTCCCCAGAATCCAGAAACTTTCCTTAAAAAACCCAGAAATGTTCCCCCAAAACCTCAGAAACATGTTCCCCCTCCCAGTCCAGACAGTTTCTCCAAAAATATATTGAAGCATTCCCAAAAATCTAGGAACTTTCCCCAAAAACTCCAGAGCCATTCCTAAACAGACCCAGAAATCCAACTCCCAAAAAAATCCAGAAACATTCCTCCAAAAAATCTGGAAACATTCCTCCAAAACCCCAGAAATTCCCCCCCAGAAAATCCAGAAATTCCCCCCAAAAAGCCCAGTATTAAAAAAAAAAAAAATCCAGCCCCAAGCCCCCATCACCCCCTTCTTCAACCCCCTCAAGCAGGAAAATCCTCCAAACCCCACCCGGAATTCCCAGAATCCCTGAAATCCCAGCACTGCCCCAGATCTCACTGGTTGAAGAGCATGGAGAGCATCAACTCGTTGGTCTCCTCAGGGAGGTTGGTCAGGAACAGGATGTGGTTCGGGGGGTTTTCCGACAGCTGTGGGGAAACGGGAGAAAACCCCCAAAATCAGCAGCAAGTCTGCCCCAAATCAGGCCCAAAATCTACCTAAAGTCACACTGTATACACACCAAAAAACCCACCCAAAATCTCCCCAAAAAAATTCCCTCCAAAATCCAATCAAAATCCTCACAAAAAATCCCACCAAAAGCCCCCCAAAAAACCCCTCAAAATCTGACCAAAAACTCACAAAAATTCCACCAGAAAGACCACAAAATTCATGCCAAAAATCCCCACAAAAATTGCACCAATGCCCACAGAAATCCCTCAAAATCCCAACTAAAATCTCACAAAAATCACCCCAAAGATCCCCAAATTACACAAAATCCATCAAAAAAATCCCTCAAAATCATGCAAAATATTCCCACAAAGTATCCCACAAAAATTGCCTGAAGAACCACACAAAACCCATTCCAAAAATACACACCAAAATCCCACCAAAACCTTCTCAAATCCCCCCCAAAATTCCCCCAGGTCCCCTCAAATCCCACCCGAAATCTCAGGAAATACACCAAAAAAATCCTCCCAAAACTTGCCTCAAAATCCCACCAAAACCCAACAAAATCTCACAAAATCCACCCCAAAAATCCCCCTAAATCACTCACGGGCTGTGGGGTGGGGATCGGGGCCATTCCAGGCTGTGGGGCCATTCCTGGGGGGATTCCCGGGTTCGGGGCCATTCCCGGGGCCGGGATCATGCCCGGGGGAGGGATGTAGGGCGGTTGACCCCCCAGGTGCGGCAGCATCCGGGGCGGCTGTGCCAGCGGCGCCATTCCCTGAGGAGAGACCCCAACACACCTCAAATCATCCCAAAGGCACAGACAGAACCCCAAAGTTATCCCAAAAGTACAGTGAGAATCCCAGATCAATGTGGAATTATCCCAAATCCACACAGAATTATCCACAGACATGTGGCCCCAAAAACCCAATTTTCCCCAAAACCATTAAAAATTACCCCAAACTATCCCAAAATTTCCACAAATAACCCCCAAATTACCCAAAATTATCCAAAAATAACCCTAAATAACCCCACATTATCCCAAAATGACCCAAAATTATCCCAAGTAACCCCAAAATTACTCCAAACAACTCAAAAATTACCCCAAATAATCCCAAAGGCACACAAAGAAACCCAAAGAACTCAAATCCCCCCAAAATTCCATCCAAATCCCCCCATGCCCTCCCAAAATGCCCAGGAAAGATCCCAAATCCCCTGGAATGATCCCAAATCCCCCCAAATCCTTTGGAACAATCCCAAAATCCCCTGGAACCATCATGAAACCCCATTAAACAATCCCAAATCCCCTGGGAACGATCCTCAAAATCCCATAAAATGGTCCCAGATGCTCCTGAGCCATATGCAAATCCCCCAAAACATCCCCAAAATTCCCCGGAAATGCCCCAAATTCCCTTAAATTGACTCGAAATCCCCCAGGAATGATCCCAAAATCCCATAAATCGATCCCAACTCCTCACCCAAACATCCCAAATCACTGCTCCCTGTGCCCCAGTCCCAAATCCCATAAACCCACCCCAAAATCCAATGGAATGATCCCAAATCCCCTGAACTACTCCAAAATCCCATAAAACAACCCCAAACTCCCTGAAATGCTCCCAAATGCACCCAGACTGATCCCAAATGCCCTGGGAACAATCCCAAATCACATAAAATAATCCCAAAATCCCCTAAAGCCATCCCAAATCCCCCTGAACTCATGGGCACTGCCTCCTGTACCCTAATTCCATATCCTATAAATGACCCCAAATCCCATAAACGACCCTAAATCCTATAAAATAATCCCATAAATACCCTGGCAGTCATTGGCACTGGCCCCTGTGCCATGATCCCAAATCCCATAAATGATCCTATAAATCCCCTGACACTCACGGGCACTACTCCCTGTGCCCTGATCCCAATCCCAAAAGCCCACAAATGTCCCCAGTCCCATCAATGACCCCAGTCCCATCCCACATTCCCTGGCACTCACAGGCACTGCTCCCTGTGCTGCCCCCTGCACTCCAGCCCCGCTCTTTTTTGGGCCGGGGGCCTCTCCCCCCTTGGCTTTGCGCTTGTCCCGTTTGCGCTCCCGGTCCCGGTCCCGATCCCGTTCCCGCTCCACGAAAGTTCCCTTCATCTTGGCGATGATGTCAGAGTCTGTCTTGGCGTACTGGATCCGCTGGGAGGGCACATCCCGACATTGGGGCATTGCAAGGCATTTGGGGCATCTCCAGGAGGGATTTCACAGACTTCCTACGGGGATTCTGGGATTTCTGAGGGGTTTCTGAGGGATCTGGGGTTTTCCAAGGGATTTTGGGAGGTTCCAGAGAGGATGTGGGGTTGTTCCAGGGGATTTTGGGGTGGTTCCAGGGGACTCTGGATCAGTCCAGGGGGATTTGGGGATGGTTCAGGTGGTTTCGGGGTTCTTCCTGAGGATTTTGGGGAGGATCTGGGGCTTTACGAGGGATTTTGGAGAGAGTTTTAAGGGATATGGGGGAGTTCCAAGAGGGACTTTGGCATTTTCCAAGGGATCTGGGGAAGTTCCAAGAGGGATTTTGTGATTTTAAAGGAACTTTGGGAAGTCCTAGGAAGAATTTTGCAAATTTCAGAGGGATTTGGGGGGAATTTAGAGGGGATTTGGAGGAGTTCCAAGAGGGATTTTGGGGTTTTCCAAGGAATTTTCAGGGGTTCTGAGGGATTTGGGAAAGGTTCTAGAAAGGATTTGGGGATTTTCCGATGGTGTTTGGGGGAGCTCCAAGAGGAATTTGGGGGCATTTCAGGAAGTCCTAGCAAGGATCTAGGGATTTCTGAGAGATTTTGAGGGAATTCAAAGAGATTTAGGGGGGATTTGGGAGTTTCTGAAGGATTTGAGGGAATTCAAGAGAGATTTTGGAGGAGTTCCAAGAGGGATTTGGGGGTTTCCAATGGATTTTTAGGGCTTCCAGGTTGAATTTGAGATTTCACCACAGGTTCGTCATAGAAGGAAAAGCTTTGGGAATTCCTGGCTGGATTTTAGGGCTTTTCCTGGAATTCTGGGCTTTTTCCTGGGATTCTGGGTTTTCACCAGAGTTGGCTGGTAGCAGAGGAAGCTTTGGGGCAGCTCATGGTTGGATTTTGGTGCATTTCTGGTTGGATTTGGTTTTTTTTTGTTGTTTTTTTTTTTTGTTTTGTTTGGTTTGGTTGTTTTTTTTTTCCTTTTGGTTTTTTTTTTGGTGGGATTTTGGGGATATCTGAGGCTGGATTTTTTTTTTTCACAGAAATTCAGTTTTTTTCCCCAAAGTTTGAGGATTTTTCCCAGAATTTGAGTATTTTCCACCAGAATTTCTCTCTCATCATAAACTTGTCATAAAACAAGAAGTTCCTTGGGCGTTCGTGGTTGGATTTTGGGGATATTTGAGGCTGAATGTTGGGGTTTTTTTCCCCCAAGAATTCAGGATTTTCCCCAAAATATCAGGATTTTCCCTTGAATTTGGGTCTCACCATGGGTTTCTCATAGTAGAGGAAGTTTTGGGGTGTTCAGGGTGAATTTGGACAATTACAGGTTGGAGTCTGGGGATATTTGAGGCCACATTTTGGCAGTTTTTCCCCAGAATTTCAGAGTTTTTTTCCAGAATTCCAGTTTTTCTCCAAAATGTCAGAATTTTATCCCCAGGTTTCTGCCCCACTGTGGGCAGGAAGCTTTGATTCCTAGTTTGATTTGAGAGTGTTCCCAGGGGATTTTCCCGTTGGATTTGTTTTTTTTTTTTTTTTTCCCAGGAATTCAGGTTTTTCCCAGAATTCCAGGATTTTTTCCCATAATCCCTGTGTTTTTCCCTAGGATTTCTGTTTCACCATGGGTGTGTCATACACGGGGAAGCTTTGGGGTGGTCAAGATGAATTTGGAGAGATTACAAGTTGGATTTTGGGGATATTTGAGGCCAGATTATGGTGGTTTTTCCAGTCTTTTCCCAAAATGTCAGAATTTTTCCCCAGTCTCTGTCTCACCATAGGTTTGTCGTAGAAGGGGAAGCCCTGCATGGAGCGCAGGGCATTGGTGGCGCTGCTCATCTCCTTGAAGATGACGAAGGCCTGGCCCCTCATGCGGAGACTGCGCGACACCAAAATGTCCAAAATCTGCCCAAACTGGGAGAAAATGGCGTAGAGGGACTTCTTCAGCTCTGGGGACAGAGAGAGAGTATAGTGACAATGGGGACAGCACGGTGACAGTGGGGACACCCAGGGGACAGCCTGAGCCCCTGGGACAGCCACGGACACTCTCAGACCCCCCAGCCCTCCCCCACCGTCCTTCTTGATCTTCTCGTTCAGGTTGTTGATGTAGATGGTGTGGTTGGGCCGGGGATCCTGCACCGCCATGGCTGGAACCTCTCTGTGAGGACAGGGGGGCTTCAGGGGGCGTCTGGGGGGCTGCGACCCCTTTACCCCCTGGAACCCCCCTTTAGGTACCCCAAACACCCAAATCCACCCCAGATCCACCTATACCTCCACCCAATTACCCACAGACCCCCTCCCAAATTAACCCCAGACCCACCTAGGGCTCCACAAAACCTCCTCAGATCCACCTGAGATCCCCCCCCAAATTGCCCCTAGACCCACCTCAGAACCCCCCATATCCCCCAATTCCCCTCAGACACCCCAAAACCCACATCAGAACCCTCCAGACCCTCTCAAGCTCCTCCCCAAGCCCCCTCAGACTCCCTCATTCCCCCCAAAGTGACCTCAGATCCCCTATTTCCTCTCAACCCCCCCAAAATCCCCCATTTCTCCTCAGACACATTTCAGACCTCCCCAACCAACTTCAGATCCCCCCATTTCCCTCCGGACCCACCTCAGAGCCCCCCTCGCCCACATTTCCCCCCAAATCCACCTCAGCCCCCGCAAAAACTCCTCAAACCACCCCAATTCCCCCCAAATCCGCCCCAGACCCACGTCGGACCACTCAATTCTGCTCATACCCACTTCAGAAGCCCCCATTTCCCCTCAAATCCCCCATAGACCCCGCAAAAAACCCTCAAACCCGCCCAATGCTCCCCGAAACTGCCTCGGACTCAATTCCCCTCATACCCACCTCAAACGCCCCCAATTCCTCTCAACCCCCGCCTCAAACCTCCCCAATTCCCTTCCCGTTTGCCCTAGATCCACCTCACACCCCACAAAAACCCCTCAAACCACCGCAATTCCCCCCAAACCCATTCCCGACACACCTCAGACACCCCCATTTTCCCTCCAGTTTCCCCCCGGACCAACCTGAGATCCCCCTAATTATCCCCTCAGACCGCGCAAAAATCCTTCAAAGCCGCCCAATATCCCCCAAATCCGTCCCGCACGCACCTCAGACTCCCCTCACTTCCCCTCAGACCCGCCTCAGCCCCTTCCCATTTCCCTCTAAAGCCACCTCAGATCCCTCCACTCCTCACAGACCCAACACACCGCCCTCCTCAGCCGCTCTCCCCGCACGATCTGCCGCCGCCGCGTGCGCGGGCCCCCTCCAGCCAATAGCGGCGCGACCCGCCCCGACCTAGCCAATCACCGCGCGGGTTCTCTCAGTAATGCCCGCCTCCCCCGCTCCGCACCAGCCAATCAGAGGCGAGCCGGAAGTGGCGTCGCCTGACCCCGCGGCCGCGCAAGAAGCCGGCGACGCCGGGCTCGGGAGGGTTCTGCGGGAAGCGCTGGGAGAGGCCGGAGCTGCGGGAGCTGCTGAGGGGCCGGGACAGGTGGGGGAATGGCGGATGAGGGTCCTAAGAGGGGATCGTGGGGGAGGGGTCTTGGGAAGGGTCTGGGGAGTCTCAGGGGACATCCTGGGCTGGGCCCGATTGGGATCTGGGGGCTCTGAGGGGGGTCCTGGGGGTCTCAGGGGGTTCGGGGGGGATCTGGAGCTCCTGTGGGGGTTTTGGGGGTCCAGGGTGATCCTGGGCCAACGTTGAGTGGGGCTCTGGGGGTGTTTGGGGTTCCTGGGGGAGATTTGGGGTCCCGGGGACTCCCAGGCCCAGGCTGAACCGGGGCCTGGGGGTTTCGGGGGGAGGGAGCACAACAGGGGTTCCCCTCACCCAGTTTTTGGGGGGTCTCCCATCGTGCTGTCTCCCCAAAAAGTGGCTCCTGAAGCATCCCGCTGAAGTGGCTCCTGTTCTACCGGCCGGTGCCCCCTGATCCAGGACGGCCCCCAGTGAGTCTGGGGGGATTTTGGGGAGGAGTTTGGGGGGGCTTTTTTTGGCCTTTTGGGGATTTTGTTGGGAGTTTAGGGGGAATTATTAGGTTTTTGAAGAGAGTTATTGGCTTTTGGGGTCTTACAAGATTTTGGGGGGGTTTGGATTTTGGGGGATTTTATTGGAGTTTTGAGGGGTTGTTTTTTTGGGGAGTTTATTGAAATTTTTGGATTTTTTTTTTTTAATTGCGGTGGGTTTCACTGGGATTTTGTGGGATTCTTTGGGATTTTGGAGGGTTTTGTGGGGATTTTTAGGGACTTTTGGGGGGTTCTTAGTGGAATTTTTGGGGGTTTTGGGGAGTCTGGGGGGGCTTTGGGATTGTCCCTGGGTGTGGGGAAGGGCTGACAAGCACCAAAATCTCTTTAAAACCCCCAAAAGTCCCAATAAAACCCTCAAAATCCCATTAGAATACCCTAGAATTTAAAAAAAAGGCCCACAAAAATCTATTGAAGTCCCAACAAACCCTCAAGAGTCCAATTAAACCACACAAATCCGCCCAAAAATGTCCCCAAAACCAAAAAAAGTCCCACAAAATCCCCCCAGGACCCAAAGAAATTCTGGTACAGGACACCCAAAAACCCCACAGAACCCCACCAAAAATCCCAAAAAAACCCCCCAAAAATCCCAGAAAAACCTAAGCCCTCAAAGAATCCCACTAAATGCCCCCCAGATTCCAACAGAATTACTCCAAAACCCCTAAAAATCCGAATAAAACCACCAAAAATTCCAGGGAATCGAACAAAATCCCCACAAATCACAGTAAAACCTGCTAAAATTTTTTAAAAAGCCAAAAAATTTCAAGAAACCCTCAAACACCTCCAGAAAAACAACCCTCCCAAAGCACCAATAAAACCCCCCAAGATCCAAATCCCCAAAATCTACAAAATCTCCCAAAATTCTGCAACTCCCCCAAAACCCTATAATTTTCTTCAAAAAATGCAATGATTCCCCCTAAACTCCCACCAAATTTCCCCAAAGCCCAGAAAAGCCCAAAGTCCCCAAAGCCCTGATCCCTCCCAGTCTCGGCCCAGTCCCATCCAGGGGCACGGCCAAACGCAGAGGTCCCTGAGCAATCCAGGAGCCATCCCAGAGCATTCCCGGTTCCGATCCTGGTGCCAGTCCCAGAGGGATCTCGGCGCCGATACCAGTGTCATCCTCAGTCTTGGCCCATTTGGGTGATTTTAGGCCAATCTGGGCAGATTTAGGGTGGGTTTCAGATCCCTTGCAGTGATTCCAAGCCTTTTAGCTTGGATTTTAGGCCGCTTTGGTTGATTTGAGGCTGAATCTGGAGAGTTTTACGGGGGATTTTAGATCCCTTTGGCTGATTTTAGGCCCATATGGGTGAATCTTAATCCTGTTTGGTTGGTTTTACGTCCCTTGTTTTGGTGATTTTGGGCCCATTTGGGTAGATTTCTGACTTCTTCGGTTAATTTTAGGTCGAACCAAGCTTTTTAGGGTGACTTTAGGTCCTCTTGTGTTGGTTTCAGGCATGTTTGGGTGATTTTAATAAAAACTAGGTGGATTTTAGGGTGGATTTAGGCACATTTGGGTCATTTTAGGCAAAATCAGGTACTTGCAGTGTGAAAAACACCAATCACTTGGTTTTTTTTAATCTTATAAAAAATAGTAATAAAATTAGAGTAATAAAAATTTGGACTAGAGTAATTAGAGTAATAAAAATAGGATTAGGACACTATGAGACAATAAAAAGCAAAGAATTATGGACGTCTGGATGCTCTCGGACACTAGGTCACGAAAAGCATGCCTTGTGAACAAAGGAATATCCTTAAAAGGAATAGCCTGTTGCATATTCATATATCTCATACATGATACATAAATTCCTTGGAAATTAAGAATTTTTCTGGTTTGTGTCAACTTCTCCCCCTTAATCCTGGTGGTTCCAGAGAGATGGAGAGGAGGTGGAAGAATGTTTGTCTTTTCTGATGAGGAAGCCGTAACTCTTTAGGTTTCGTGAGCTGTAACTCTTTAGGTTTCGAGGCCATACAAGTGTTCAGAGTGTGGAAAGGGGTTTCAGATCAGCTCACATCTCCTCCTGCACCATCGGTTTCACACAGAGGAGAGGCTCTTTTGCTGTCCAGACTGTGGGAAAGGATTCATGTACAATTCCACCCTCAACAACCACCAGTGGATTCACACAGAGGAGAGGCCCTTCTGCTTCCCTGGCTGCGGGAAGGGATTGAAGCACAACTCCACCCTTGCCACCCACCAGCGCACCCACATCGGGGAGAAGCCCTATCAGAGTCCACAATGTGAGAAGAGCTTCTCATAGAGCTCAACTTTGACCCAGCACCAACAGAGCCACTGGTTAGGGAGGCTCTGTGAGTGCCCTGACTGAGGGAAGAGCTTCGTGTGCTGCTCCAACTCCATCCCTCATTGAAGGACCCTTGTTGGGAAGAGATCTGGTGACCCACATTCCCTTGTGATCCATATTGGGAAGGCACCTAGCTGGCTATCCTTTTGTTTTGACCTTCATTTTCTTCTGACTCAACTCCATCAGCCAAAACAGGCCTGAAAAGAAAGAAATTGATCAATGATGTCTGAAGTCCCACCATTTCACAGTTGTTTGAGGGGGAATTTAGGATTTGGGGACATATTCTGGAGGATTTGGGGGTTCTGGGAGGATTTTGGGCAGTGTTCTCCATCTCTTTGCACTGCAGAAACCAAGAGGGATCAATCTGTCACCTCAAAACAACTCAATCCCACTGAAAACAACTGAATTCTAACCCATAAGGGCTCAATCCCCCCTCAAAATGGCTTGTTCCCACCTCAAAAAAACTCAACCCCACTCCAAACTCAATTCCATAACTGCCAGAGTTAGATGGGGTTGGAAGGAGACTGGGAGAAGTGGGATCCAAATTTGGAGCAGTGGATCTGGATTGTGTGGGGCTGAGTGGGTGGGATGTATTTGATAGTAAATAAAACTTTCAGAGTTAGTGGTTTCTTTCCCATTCATTTTCAGTCTGTTGCAGTTCTGTTTGCAGAGTGCCACCTTCCCAGCTGATTGTGTTTGTGTCCTCCTTTCTCTCCCACCTCTCTTTGCCTGCTCTGTTTATCTCTCTGTTGGAATCTGAGGTATTGATGATTCCGAGATTGTAGAAAGTCTCTGTCTTTCTGCCCCTTTGCCAAAGAAGCAGCCATAATTCGTCTGTGCTGGTTTTCAAGGTTGTTTATTCTTACTTACCTATAACATGTTCTGCTGCCCTGCCACAGGTCTGTCCTGCAGGGCAGCGTGTGGGGCTCTCCCCTCAGTGGGATGTTACAAACATTATATACCAGAAACTATGTGTGCTATATTTACAATAATGTGCCAATATCTATCATCTACGTTAAACAGCGGGTCCCCAGCCTAAACCAACAGAAAAATGCCAACACTACAGTGAAACATGGAGGGCATGAAGAAGGAGAAAAAGGACAAGACACACCCAATTTCCTCCATCTTGTCCCCTTTGAACCCCTAATCTAGAATCCTAAAATTTTACTTTTGCACCCATGCCACACTTAATTATTACTTATATCAAACACTCAGAGCTTGTAATTCATCCTGTAAGATTGAAAACTCTTTTCCATGGACAGAGATCACAGACAGTGTCTCTTGGGGCTCTGTGCAGGGGGGTTCCTGACCCCTGCCAGGGTCCCAGACCTGCCAGGGCAGCCAGAGGGAAGCCCTGGATTCCCACATCTCTCCGTGTCTCCCTTGAGCCACGGCAGCTGCCACCAAAAACCCTGCCCTGATTTAATTCCTAGTGCAGGAGCTGCAACAACCATGGGGGAAGTTAGGAAGCCTTTCTGCGAAATGTCAGTGTAGGATCTTGCTGCACTTGGCTTTCGACCCCTTAAGATCTTTGCCTTCAAGGGCAGGAACATCTTTTCCTGGCTGGGAACTGGAATTCCAGACCCTTGGAGTGTGTGCCATGCGGGACCATGCAGACTGGGATCCTACAGACTGGGATCCTACGGACTGGGAGTGCACAGACTGGGACCATATGGATCAGGACCATACAGACTGGGATTTTGCGGTCTGGGACCTTGTAGACTGGGATTGTATGGGTTGGGATTGTATGGACTGGGATTGTACAGTCTGGGATCATATGAAACGGGATGGCTGCACCAGAACAATGCAGAACTGAGGCAGTCCCAGGAATCCCTCTGCCCAGGAATCCCTCCCAGTCCCGCATAGGGGCATAGCCAAAACTCTCCGGAGCAAACATGAGGATCCTGGAGTGATTCCAGTGCCAATCCCATTCCTGGATTTGGTCTCAGTATCCATCTAGGACAGCTCCCAATGTCAGTCTCAGTCCCGGTCCCAGTCTCGGTCTCAGTCTCGGAGCACTCCTGGAGCGCTCCCAGTGCTGATTCCGGTCCCGGTGTTGATCTCGATCCCGGAGCTGTGCTGGTCCTGGTCTCATTCTGAGTCCTAGAGTGGTGCCAGTCTTGGTGCCGGTACCACTTCTGGTTTCAGTCCCAGTCTCGGTCTCTGAGTTGTCCTGGTCCTAGTGCTGGTCTGTGCTGGTCTTAGTCCTGAAGTGCTCCCTGTGCCAATCTCAGTCTCAGTCCCAGTCCTAGAGTGCTGCCAGTCTCAGTGCTGGTTCAGGTGCCAGTCTCAGTCTCAGTCCCACAGTGCTCCGGCTGGTCTCCATCCTGGTCCCAGTCCCGGAGAAGTCCTATTGCTGGTGCTGGTCTCAATTCCGGTCCCGGTCCTGGTCCCAGAGCACTCCTGATGCCAGTCCTGATTCTGAAGCACTCCTGGTGCTGGTCCCAGTGTCGGTCTTGGTCTCAGTCTTGGTCCCAGTGCCAATTCTGGTGCTGCTTTCAGTTTTGATCCCAGTACTGGTGCCGTTGCCAGAGCAGTGCTGGTCTCAGTTCCCGTATCAGTTCTGGTCCCGGTCTTGGTCCCTGTCCCTCTCCCTGAGATTTTAGGCCCATTTGGTTGATTTTAGGCCAAGCTGGGCAGGTTTAGGGTGAATTTTACATCTCTGAGAGCGATTTCAAGCATTTTGACATGGATTTTAGGTCACTTTGGATGATTTTAAGCCCACATGGGTGGATCTTAAGCTTGCATGGGTGATTTTAGCCCCCTTTTCTTGGTGATTTTGGTTTCAGGATTCAAACAGTGTTGCCTTTCCCCACAGCTGTTCCTTCAGCTGGATTGGGAGGGCCTTTTGGCCACTGAACCCACACTTTGGCTCCATTATTAAGACTGTTGGATCCAAATCCTTTATCTCTAGCAACAGTGGTCATTGGAGGTGCATCTCCTTTTTTCACAATTGTTTTTAAAATTGCAATATCAATAATTGTACTACCCTGTCATGGAGTTGAATAATCACATCTTATTCACTATTGTTTAACATAATTACTTTAATTCCTCCTTGATAATCTGCATCAACTTCTCCCATGACATGAATGCTTTTCAAAGCCAAGCTCCAGTGAGCAGTTACCAAACCAAAGTGTCCTGGAGGAATTGGAATTCCTATGTCAGTATTGGTAATTCTCATTTGCTTTTGATTTATCTTAATTAATTCAATGCATGAAGGTCCAGCCCTACAGCCTCTAGGGAGGCCCTGTCAAGGAGCATCAGACCCAGAATAATTTTTCAGGAAGTTAAAGTGTCACTGACCATGGTTGTATTTGCAAATTGGGTGCAGCCATGCACATCCAGGGGGTTTCCATTTCCCAGGGGGGCCCTTGTTAAGGGTGTAGAGCACATCTGGGACATGTGTTCTCTGTGAGGACAGGTTCCCATCTCCTCCTTTTTTCAACTGCTCTTTGAACAACCCCTTCACCTATTCAATCAGTCCTGCAGATTGTGGATAGTCTGGTGTATGAAAAATCCAGCAGTCTTAATAATTTTATTTTTCACAGTAACAGACAAAGCATTCCACATCACAGTATCAGCAAACCCCATAAAAATAGCCAATTTCATCCTTTCCTCCTTTATTTGTTATATATAATCTCACAAAGTTTACCACTGACATTCGGGTCATGGCCAGTGCTTTTCTGTAGGATATTTAGTGCTAGATCCTTGAGCAGCAAAAAGTGGTAAATCAGAATTGTCAGCATTATTTCACATTATTATTTTATATCTAGAGAAAGATATAGATAAAAACAGATTTATATAGACTTATTGATATATAAAAATAAATTTATAAGTATATATTAAAATGTTGTATTTTATTACATATATGTATATAGTTATTTCTTATACTAATATTCTTTCACTTGAACAAATTCATACAAGCTCAAGATTAAAAACTTCTGCTGTCGCTCCATGTGGGAGTGTTCCAACAACTGTTCCTTCTGTTGGTGCTGTTTCCAATGTGCTGTTAACAAAATACATCCTCATCTTCGCCCACCCACAAATTGTTTTGCTTTCTTCATATGCAATTTTTTGATATATTTTAATACCTCCAGTGGTTCAGCTTCTTTTAACTGACTGCCCCATTTCTCGCACAGGGTTCTGACCTCAGCCCACTCCAGAGTTGGTGAACTCTAGGGAAGGGCTTCCTGTTGGAGGATGGCTGCAGGAGCAGGGCCATGAATCCTTAGAATACCTGCTCCAGCACTCCCCTGTCTGAGACCCCAGAACCAAGCACTGTGTCTGGCCTGGGAACAGAGCCTGGGAACAGCATTGTGCCTGGCCTGAGAACAGACACTGTGCAGGGCCTGTAGGCTAGGAGCCAGGCACTGTGCAAGGCCTGGGAATGGCACAGATAACAAAGGCAGCATATCCTTGAAGATATGAGTTGTACAAGAACAGAGTGTGAGACAACACGTGCCCAGCAGGATAAGATGTGCTGGGAGGACGTGACTGAGAGAAGAAGAACTTGGCTTGAGAAACTTGACTGCAGCTGTAACTGTACGTAGAAGAAGTTCTAACAAAGACCTTTGTGAAATAGCCAATGAAAACTATTGCTGGCTTTGCTTGTAGAAAACCCTACATAAACTGTAAGAATCCTGGAATAAACTTGAGGCTTGCTTTTCAATTATATTGATTGTGTGCTTGTCCTCCCTCACTGCCCAACTTCAACTTCCCATCTGGAAATTGATTCCTTAAATTTACATTTAAGAAGTGACAATTTTGTTGTGATCTGGCCAGACTATGCCAGTTTTGTTTTACCAGTGGGCATGGTGTCTAGGTTTGGAAAGACAGGTGTCTGCTAAGGAAGGCAGGAGCCTCCCCTGAAATGGAAAAATGTAGACCCCTTCCCTCTGAATTGTTATAAATTTGAAATTAAGGAGGATTCTCAGGCAAAAATATGGAAGCAGGAATAACAGTTCTTTATTAGGGAAGAAAATAAAAAGATAAAATAAGCAATGCAGTGAACCAAAACAACACTGACAGAGTCAGAATACAACCTGACACCCTGTTTGGTGTTGGTAGCAGTCCAATTGGAATTGTAGCTGCAGTCCTCCTGGAGTGTCAGGTGTGGTTCTGTTGGAGTAGTGATCTTGTAGAAAAAGGGTGTAGACTTCCTCCAAAGAGGCAGTGGAAGAGGCAACTGTTTTTCTGGGAAAATCCAGCACAGAAAAAGCTGTGCTAGTGGGACAGAATCTCAAGACTATATGCAGGTAGGAATGCTTAGCTCTTCTATCTTACAATCTTACAATGGGATGTTATAGCTTTTATCAGTCATGCAGTGACATTCAATAGCCCATTATCAGCAGATGTCTTTCCGGAGGGAGGATTGATTGTGGAAGGGATAAGGAGAAACTGCCCACTTAACACAAGACAACTGCCATACAAATGGCAAGTAGAATACATCTTGCTTTTCAATCTGGGACACAGGGTCAGCACCAAAGACACAAACACCAACTGAAGGAATCAGTGTAATTGCTGTAGTTCAAAGCAGCAAAGAATCACAGAAGGAGAAGCTCAGCAATGCACCCAATCATCACTACCAAAGATTGCCTGCAGTGATTAAGAAAGATCCATCACTGTTGCAGTGAGGTGGCTGCAACAAACCTCTGGTTCCCTGACTTCAGAGCGAGGGTGGTGAAAATGAAAAGGAGGAGCTTCGATGAGGTTGCCTGGAAAGAACTTTAATAAAGGGTGCAAAACAACAAACATGGAGAAGCTGAGCACAGTATGAGGGAAAATATCCAAAGACCCATAACAAAGTGGAAGCAACAACATATACACTTGGAGGTGGAACATTCTGGAACTATAACCACATAGGGGAAACAATCAGTAGGGGAGCAGAACTTGGACAACTTAATATAGTAACACCAAAGGCTTATGGGGGAACTCTCAGGCTCGCCATAAGCTAAACAATTGATTCCCAGGTCTTGAAATGAATACCCAGTTCTTCTGGGGTAAAATCTGGCTGACTTTGAGTCACAGCCGGGCCAATACCCACATCTCCCCCTGTGGATGCCAGCAAGGTCAGGGAGAGAGAAACAGCAATCGTTTCTCACAGTGGCTTGTGAAAATTTTTAGGGAGTTGTAGGGATGTGATAACTTGTTAGTATAAACATTTTGCAGGTGGTGATTTTCTACTTTGTTTTTCTGTTCTCAGGGATGGTGTGTAAGAAAGATGTTTTTATTAACTAGCCAATCAAGTGGAATGTATCATATCAGTCTATATAAGCCGGAGAATCCATTGTATTAAAGCTTCTTTTTTTCCTCTTGCAATTTCGTCTCTTGTCTGTTCTTGTGTCATTCTTGGAACAAGGGTGACATCACCCTTTCTGTTTTATAATAAAAATGTAACTGAGAGAACTTTACAAAACTCTATAAAAACATCCAAACAAGCATAGAACAACCAACAGCACAACAACAACAACCAAGAAAACCAACAGTCCCATCTTGACTAAAGACATCATCCAACCCTTCAGTCCCCTGTATTAGAAGACTTTATTCAACCAGTCTCTATTTTCCACTTGAAGCTTCTTGAACCCTCCCGTCAGCACTTGAATGCTCTTGCGGATTGACTTGCTGTGGCTGGAGAGGTTCATGCAACACATTCCTTCAAAGTCCTCACAACTGTGCCCATGTGCCAAAAGTAGAAAGTCTATTGCTGCCTTGTTCTGCAAGGTGCCATGTCTGTTGGTAAATACATTTGAGAGCAGGCAAGGGAGGTAGCATTGGTTTGCTTACTTAGCAGGCACCCAGATGGTCTAATTGTCCTAAGGTTTTGGCTGCAGCCACCCAAGGGAACAAGATGGATGCTGCTATTTTCTTGTTTTCACTCCAATATATAACATCGTATTTACAATCAGATTCAAAGTACTGCATAGACCTTTTCACTCTATCTCTCTGCCTATGCATCATTTTCATGTTGGGTGCCAGCAAGGTAAGCCTCCCCAAGCTACAGGGTCCCCCTTTGATGTGTAAAGTGATACTGGGTCATATTCTGTCCCTACAAATAAGAAACACACCCTGTGGTAACTGGAGTGGGTAGCTACGGGACCAAGAAATGATGGAAGATGTGTAATTACACCATTGGCTCTGATTTTTCTAAGTGGGATGGTATATGGAGATGTCCCTCCTGCTAGTTTCTTTTTCTCTTGTAATTTTGGGTCTTTCAGCCTCTTCCCATTTCAATCAGTAATAAAACTTTACACAAAAGTAAATTTTTATAGAGTCGAGAATTTCTAGCTCCTGGGGTTTAAGTGGTGCATGTGGGAGCTTCCAGGTCCAGTAGTCCCAGGCATTGACAGGGTTGTATTACCATTTGCTGTCAGGATTGTCACCTCACACACTACAGATGGCATGCTCAGTTATCAGCCACATCCACAGATAACCCTACTAGGCAGGTGGAAAAGGGGTTGTCAGGGCTAGCAACAGACAGGCACAGGGTATATTGTTCTATGGCTTTTGCTAGGGTTACCCATACGTTCTGTTTTGTCTATGGGACTACGCATGGACTCTCAAGGAGCCTGGTGGCAAACAGGCTGAGGCAGGTGAGCAAAAGCTTCTTTATGGGTAATTTTCAAAAAACTTGCCCAGTCTGGGTGTAAAAAGTCATTGTCTGGTGGTTCTTGTCTTGGGGTGGACTTGGGGGGTTCCTCTGGTGAATCCTCATTCAGTGGCTGTAAGCAGGACTTGGTGTTTTTTGCCAAGATCCACCAAGGTCCTTTACCAGTGGTGACAGAAGCATGTCCCCTACTCAATGTAACTAATGGAAATGGCCCCAGGATCTGGGTTGTTTCAGGTTATTTTATCAATACTGGTGGCCTTTTGTCCTAGTTTAGGGCAAACTGGGGAGAAAACCTCTGGAAGGAGCCCCCAGAAAACAAACCCCCACAGCCCCTCCCCCTCCCACCTGGTTCGGGAAGAATTTTCTCAGAGAGAAATGGAAAAAACCTGTTTATTTAACAAACAAAACACTCCCCAGCACAAAAACAAACAAACAAAAAAACAAACAAACCCATTCTTTCACCACTCTGAAGAGATGACAAATCCAGAAAGTCTCTCTTGGGAATGATCGCCCGTGTCTGGGCACTGGGGATTGCTCTCCGACACTGGGGGTGGCTGCTGCAGATCACAAAATGAAGGCTCTCGGTGTTCCTCAGTGTTTCCCAGGTCCCAGTCCAGAGCAGGTTGATATAATATTCAGGAAAGGGAAAGGGGAAATAAAAAAAAAACAGTCCAGGGAAAAAATTGGACTGTTCAGCTAAACTAACTAAAAAGCAAAAGCAAAGGCAAAAGCAGAAGCAGGAGCAAGAGCAAGCAAGCAAAGCCAGCCAGCACTAGTCTCTTCTAGACAACAGACCATGGGGGGAGGTGAGCCGGCTGATAACAAGACGAAACAAACCTTCACTTCCAGAGTCAGTTTTGAAAGGACAGAACATAACATCAAACATAAACAGAACACACAACTGGGGATACAAGCACCACAACGTCATCCTATGACACCTATCTTTTAAGTGAGCCTGTGAAGTATCAGAAAAATGTCAAATGACTGGGCTCCATAAACAAATTATTCAAAAAATTATAGACATACAGTGCCTTGCTTAGTCTCTCCATGGTGGGCAAGGTCTCTACTCCCTCCTTCTGTTTATCTAGAAGGCACTTAAGAGAGTCACAAATTCTTTCAACAACAGATTGGTCCATGGGGGAGTTAGGAATACTGGTGGTGTGGGTAATTCCCCATTGATTGAAAAAGCATCTTTTGAGAGACATAAGCTGGTCCATTGTCAGTTTTTTCTCCAGGGGGATACCTATGGCTGCAACTGCTTGGAGAAAATGTTTAATTGCATCTGCAGTTTTTTCTCATGTATGTGTTGAGGTGAAGATGGCACTTGAAAAAGCATCAATAGACACATGAAAGTATTTAAACTGACCAAAGGATAGATAGTGTGGTATATCAGATCGCCATATCTGCAGGCTGCGGAGGTCATCCTCTAGGATTGACTCCTGCCTCTATGGATGGTAAAGAGAACTTTTGAAAACTGGGGAACATACTTATGATTGCCTTCACTTGGTCCCTCGTGATGTTTAACATTCTATTTAATGCATGGGCATTTTGGTGGAAAAACATGTGGCTGAGCTTTACTTGCACAAAGATATTAGGTGTGGGAATCCTTAAAATCAGGGTTTTGGGCAAGTTGCAAAAGGCAGGCCTCAGAGACAGCAGAACTGCGATTAGAGCTAAGCAATAGTTATAAGATTTGTCAGCAGAAAAATTATGCAAGAAGTAGAAAGTAAGGACAAATAGAACAATGGTCAGTGTATTAACGCTTGGCTAGAATAACTCCCTAAGTTATAGAAAAGTATATTTAGAGAGATATCAGGAAGCTCTAAGCTTAATAATGGAGCTCTGTGCATTGTATCTTAAGGCCAACAAGCAGGTATTGTATTTGAAACAAGCAAGCATTGTTTTAACCAAAGGTACTTGTGCTTATGTTGGATAGCTGGATAGAACTACTGACAATATGCTTTTGCTTTGTGTGATTGGTCAAAAAGCTTTTAAAGTAAGTTGTAACATTAAGTTCTTGATCTGCTGCCTGGGATGTGAGCTGCTGGCATCTTCTCATTGTCATAACCATGTAATGAGGCTGATGCGAGAAAATAAACAGCTGGAGACGCGTTCCTCAGCAGTCCCATCCCATTCGTGATTTGTACATAGTCCCCCAAATGGCGATAGATTTCTATTTTTCCAATTCCCACACCTCTTCAAACTCTCTCAGGAAATTCCAACTTGAGTGTTTTCCAGTGTCTTCATAAGCGGGCTTTTTCTGGGTAGATCATGCAAACACTGCCTGTCTAAGGAAAAATCTAATGTCCCAGCTATGGAACATGCAGACAAAAGTTTGTGTGTCATCAATGAGATGTGTGTCCTCACACACACATGCAGTGAGAGTGGTGTTATGGTCAGGGCTGTGTGTTGGAGACCGAGATGACACACACTCCAAAGGTCCTTGTGACAAACAGCCTGTTTTATGGTTCAGAGCTTACTTTTACAGGGAGTTCAAAACTCCCAGGTCTAGACAGCTCATTTGCTCTGATCCTCACACAGTCCAACTCCTGACTAATGAGATACCTGCAGCCCAGGATGGAATGTAATAGGTGCAGGTGCCTGTCTATCAGCTCAGGGACTCCAATGCCATGGAGTGGAGTCTGGAACCAATGATGCAGAGCAATGTAACAGCAACTCCCAACCAAAACAAAGAATGAAAAGTATTATTCTGCAGTAAAATTTTATGACAGTAAGGCAGAGACACATAAAGAAAGGAAAATCTGCAGAACAGTTGTGATTATGCAAACAGTGGCCTCTTATTAGAATATTAATATCTTCATAGGGACAAACCCCTTTTTGGAATAACTTTGCCTTTCCCACAAATTTATATCTCCTTGGAGAGAAGGAAAAGGCATTGATAAGGCATATTTCAATATCACAGCAATTTCTTGCTTTATGTATTAATTTTTCCACAAATGAAACAAGTGTAGAATGGTTGAAGATGGGCAGGGTGTTGTCTGGAAGCTGATACAATGGGTTTGTTACTGGCATGAGAAGCATCTGTGTAATGAGAGACCTAATAGCAAACATGTCAATGATTGGTAGCTTCAGCTGGATTAAAACAACAGTAGTGTAGACGTCTGAGTGAGGAAAGCAACCATTCTTTTTATAGTCAAGGTTCTTATTAGACAAAGGGTAAACATGTAAATGAAAGGTGGACATTTGGTATGTGGTAGTCTGTTGTTTTGCAGTTTGTTCTTCTGTAGCAGGTTTTAAACATTCCTTGTTATAAGTCTGGAATAGTTCATTCCATGTACCTGATTTGGCTTCCCTAATGGTTCAATCCTGAGTTGTTTACCCCAAGATTCTCCTGCCAAGTGTATGTCAATCCACCTGTCAATCTCCTTCTATCTCCCTTTGTTCCTCTTTGTTCCCTGTCCTTCCTCGAAGCAAGATTGGGGTGCAGGGCTCCTTCCCCTTGTTGGCTTCTATTGGATAGCCCTTACCTTGTACTCCTCCCCTAATGCCTTCCTACTGGTAAAAGGTTGTGTCCTTCACTTATTCCCGCCTGCCCTTAAAAGCAGCTTTTTGCCCCCAATTATTTGTCCCTGAATCCTCTGGGGAAATAAAACCTCCTTGGAACTCAAACAAGTTCTTTGGCTTGGTTTCTTGTACTGTGCTTCTGCTGTGTTACCCACACCACAGCCATCTGCTGCAGGGAGCTGAGAGT